CACTTTTATCACCAGCTAAATACCACATATCATCTACTAATTTTGCAAGATGCTCGATCGGAATTTGAGCATTATTTGGTTGTGCCATCATTGCAAGTGCCTGGATTAAAAATCAAAAATTTAAATAATTAAGAATAAATATTCAAGAGTTATAAATTTATTTTACCTCTGGCCATTTTTTCACATATGGTTTAGTATAATTGAGCCGAGTTACGCATGCCATTCGAATTTTCTGATGAATTTTTAATCTTTTACGCAAATTTCCAAAATTTCATTACTTGTATCATAACTATATAAAAGCAATACAGAGAGACCTCTCTAGATACACTCATTATAAATACACATCGCTTTTTAATCCGATCCTGAGCTTAGAATTTAAAACTAAAATGCATACACTATATAATACTCTCTAAATTCTTAGTATAATTTTGTTCTAGCTTATAAGAGCTCTATTATTTTCGCTGCATAAAAACACCTCTTTTTTAAACGTATGCTTTTTTTATAGTCCCCAAAAGTGTGCACTTATAGAAATATAGTTCTTTAAATGCACACCCTCTAAAAATGTAACGGTCTCTCCGTACTGCACTTAACAATTAAAAAAAAAAACAACAAACCCATCCATTTTATTAATCAATTCATTAACCATCTTCCCACGACTATCCTCCAAAAACCAGTCAATTAATTCAATTCCACCTCTAGGAAATAGTCCATGAGAAACAGATGGATATCCAAGTGAATTTGCTCCATGTGATAACGATTCAATTGACCATCCATATTTTGGAACGAATGAAAGTGATGCACGGAGAATCTCTGAACGAATTAAATTGGGTGAAGCACTATATTATGAGTAAGAAAAAGCTTGATAAATTGTTCATTCATATTTAGTTTTTTTTTTTTCATATTAATAAAACATTTTTTATATTTGAACTTACCGAGATGTCTCCTTTGTATTATTATCTTCTAACTCAGTATTTATTGATTTATTACTTATGTTTGAATTAAAATTTCGGTGAGGTCGCAGACTAAGTAAATTTAATTTTATAATTCTATTTGTCTGAATTCTTTGAAACATTATTTTTGATGAACGACTTATCAAACCTTCCATATCAGAACTGCATTTTTGTCGATCGGTTATGTTCTAAGATATTAAATATGCACGACCAAAATTGATTATGATAATCAATTATCGCGAATCCTATTTAAATTGAATAATAATGATCAGTAATTGTAAAGTTTGCTTATGGATCGCTTATAGTTTTTTTAGGATCGCCTTGTAGATAATGATCAAAAAACTGATGCTTATAAGTTTTAATAAATAGTTTACAAGCTTTTATTAGAGTCATTATATAAGTTCTCAATAATCACATTATTAATTATGTAAAACATGTTTCTAAAAGACTAAACTTTATTTTTTTAAAAAAAAGAATTCGCTTCTTACATTTTTATTGTATGTGCATCACAAAATTTGTCATAGCGCTTGCTAAGTACTAGTTAAGTAGTTGACAAATATTTGACAAGTATTAATTGGAGCTAAGGTAGGTTGAATTGTAATTACAGCTACTTATTATAAGTACTTATAAAATATTAAAAATTTAAATACTTAATAAGTACTAAAGTTAGTACTTAATAAATAGTTAAAATTTATAAATATTAAAAAAAATATAAAATTTTAGTACTTATTAAGTACTGGCATTTACTGAATACAAGCTTATAATTAGTTCAACTTTGTGATGGTAGCTTATAACTCTCTCGATAGTTTGAATTATAGACTATTGATCATGAGTATTATACTGTTTATGTTATAAATCACTTTCTTTTTATTTCGTCTTCTATGCTAGGGATGGATCAGGTCCCTGGAGTCTTTAACCAATCTTCATAAGTAGCTAAAAATTGCTAACGCTAATTAAAATAATTAAAAAAAAGGTTTACATATTTCGTCATGATTCAAATTTTCTCCACTAGCCAATAAGAAGATTAGAGGTTTTAATAACTAAAGACCACCATTTTGGGACCGAGACTGGACTAAAAAAACATTAATGGATCGGTCTTGTTAGGGACCATGACGGACCAGACCGGACTAATCCACCCTATTCGTTATATTTATATAATATAGTATGATAATATGAGATAACAACATATTTGAACAGTGATAGTTTTTTTGATCAGAGAATGCCGCTTCGTGTCATTTTCTGAATTAAAAAAATTTCACTGTTACCAATGTGTTGTATCTCGGAATTATCATGCTATATTGGTATTATAGCACGGCAGTCATTGATCATAAATTATACAATTTATGTTTTTTTTTTTATAAATCCTTTAATCGTGTAGTGTAGTGTAGTATAATATAAGTATAGATGACGTATGCATCGTATAATATAACAAGCATGGATGATGAAATAAAGAGAAAGTGATTTATAACATAAACAGGGCATATTTTACTAAAATCTTATCGGTAGAAAGAAAGTATTACTTGTATATTATAAATATCTTTCTTTAAATTGATGCATGATTATAATCTCCACGTTCTTGAAGATCGTATATTATAGGAAAGAAGTATCTTTTTAACCGAATGTAAAAAAAAAAAATTATGGTACTAAACTATTACCTGTTTCAGAAGTTATAAAAGTGGTAAACAACTTTTAATAAAA